CCTCCAACCCCCCCTAACCCCCCGTTCTAACAGCACATGTTGACGTGTTGTTGCTGTTCCGATACTTCAAAGCCTCCGCACACCGTGTGTGGACACGTCGTAGTGTTTTAGTGTGTTGACGGTTTGGATTGTAAGGAAACATCGAGTTGATAGATGTTGCTTGTTGCCCAGTAATGCCCCTGCAGTGGTCATTAGATGTTAGATGTTCGCTGGACATAAACTTCTTGGACAAAGCAACTTAAATCTTACTGTTTTGTAGTTCGGAAGTAAAAACTACTATATTTTGAGAACGGTTTGAAAAGCTTTTATTTTGAAATGTTTTTTAATTGTATTTCAACTTCTTTCAGCTTCGTTTGTTTACATTCAGAGACTGCTTACTGACATATGTATATATATGTATGTATATGTGTGTGTATGTATGTACGTGTGTATGTGTATATGTATGTACATGTGTGTGTATATGTATACATACATGTATATACATGTATGTATACATGTACATGTATGTACGTGTGTGTATGTATATGTATGTACGTGTGTGTATATACAGTATGTATATGTATGTACATGTGTGTGTATATGTATACATACATGTATATACATGTATGTATACATGTACATGTATGTACGTGTGTGTATGTATATGTATGTACATGTGTATGTATATGTATGTACGTGTGTGTATATACAGTATGTATATGTATGTAAATGTGTATGTATATATGTATGTGCATGTGTATGTGTATATGTATATGTATGTACATGTGTATGTGTATATGTATATGTATGTACATGTGTATGTGTATATGTATATGTATGTACATGTGTATGTATATATGTATGTACATGTGTATGTATATATGTATATGTATGTATGTGTATATGTATGTATATATGTATACATTTATATATATGTATACGTATATGTACGAATTATGTCACAGTGATGCAGTAGGAGTGGGAATAGTGCCTGGATGTTCATACTTCCAGCAGGTGGCGCATGTCTTATCCGACCTAACATGACAGAGTTTAAATATTTGGTAGAGTTTGAATTGATCTGTTGACTTTGATGAAGTAAGACCCCACCCTTACCCCAACCCCTAGGGGGGGCTAGAGGGTGGGTTTTTTTCAGGTCCACAGTTTTCCAGCGTCGTCGTGTTCTGTCTGGTTTGGTCTTTAACTGGAGTCGAAGTATTACTGAAGTATTACTGAAGTATTACTCCACAGGTGTGAATCACTCATGCTCACGTTAACACCAGCAGTAGAGGGCACTATAACCCCCCCACCCCCCAGGCTGTTGATCCTCTGTCATCATATTGGTTAGTTTGGTCAGTCAGTGGTCAGTCAACGCTCGGTCAGTGGTCAGTCAGTGGTTAGGGAGGGATGAAAATTATGCTGTAAAAAAAAACAAAGATATTGTCATTTTGTAATTTTTGTTTCGTTTTGTTTTCCGTGTGACTCTGGCAACATTTGTCGATCAGTCAACATCCCAAAAAATGCTGGTAAGTTGATCTTTCAAACAGCCACATGATTGATGCACTGTTGTCCTCTGATCTGTCCATGTTTCAATGTTTTGATTCGACCAATGAGCTGTTGGCACCTCATGGCCCTGAGTGAACGGGTCACACCTTCATCTCACCCTGACGCTCCTCTGTCTCTGTGTGTGTGTCTGTGTGTGTGGATGCTGGTGGTGATTCTGGTCAGGAGTCAATCTGGCAACACGATTCGTATCACAATACAGGGGCGACGATACGATATATATTGCGATACTACCGGCACAACGATATATTGATTTTTTTTTTTTTTTTATTCCATACATTACATATATATATACACACATACATATACAGATACACATATATACACATATACACACATACTTATAAACATATATATACACACATACATATACGTATACACATACTGTATATACACATACATATATACATACATATATAAATACATATACATACATATACACACATAAATGCTACGTAAGAAGTTTTCAAAGTCGTAAACAGTTGGTTTAAAAAAAAAAAAAGAATCTGGAGATACGATGCGTCAATCAAGATATTTGACCTTAGAACAGGACGCTGTGACAGGCCTGCTCGGACCTGTCGCCACCTCTGTGTGTGTGTGTGTGTGTTGAAGAGTTGGGTCGGTGTCGTCGTGCTGACCCGTCTTTATGTGGAGGAGGAGCTCCAACCTCTCTCTCTCTCTCTCACCCTCTTCATTCTGTGTGTTGTCATGATGATGTCACTGGTGCATGCCAGCAGGGCTGCATGTCTGCACCGTACAGACTGTAATAATGAATGGCCCATGTGGCCCCGCCCCCTCCTTAACCCCCTCATGGTGATGACTGCCCATGTGTCACCTCGCACCTGTGATTAGTCGTTTTTACCTAACTGTTGATTTTCTTTGTCTTCCACCTTAAATCACTGCATGGAAACCAACGTCACCGAAAAAAGTCGACATCGAAATGACCTTTGAACCTTTGAATGAAAAAAAAAAAAACAA